ACAAAAGCGATGCTGAGTGCTTCCATTGTGGCAAGAAAGGCCATTGGAAGAGGAATTGTCCAGACTACCTGAAGAGTGTGAAGGACAAGAAGCATGGTGATGCTTCTACCACAGGTACTTTCATGATTGAGATAAATTATTCTTGTGCTAATCCTACCTCATGGGTATTGGATACCGGTTGTGGTTCTCATATCTGCAATATGTTGCAGGTGCTTAGGAGCCCAAGGAGATTGGAGAGAAACGAGGTGGACCTCCGCGTTTGCAATGGAGCAAGGGTTGCTGCTCATTCTGTTGGAGATGCCGACCTTATTTTGCCTACGGCCTTTTATTGCATTTGAATAATTGTCTTTATGTTCCAAACATTTCTAGAAACAATATTTCTATTTCTTGTTTAGAACAAGATGCTTTTACTTTTAGTATTAAGAATGGTACATTTTCTATCATTTTGAATGATATTGTTTATGGTACTGCTTCTTTAATAAATGGATTGTATGTTCTGGAAATGGGAATTGAAGTGCTCAATATAGCCGTGAAACGACCTAGGATAGATAATCAATCTTATCTTTGGCATTATAGACTAGGACACATAAATGAAACAAGATTGTCTATGATGCATGCAAATGGATACCTAGATTCCATGGATTTCGAATCCTATGGACAATGTGAATCTTGTCTAGCTGGGAAAATGACTTGTCACAAGCCCAAAGGGCTTGAGAGTCATAGGGCTAGTGAGTTATTAGAACTCATTCACACTGATGTTTGTGGGCCAATGTCTATAGAGGGTAGAGGAGGATACTCATATTTCATCACCTTTACTGATGACAAATCAAGATTTGGGTACGTGTACCTAATGAGATATAAATCCGAAGCCTTTGAAAAGTTCAAGGAGTTTAGGAATGAAGTAGAGAAACAGCGTGGCAAGATGATTAAGACATTACGATCGGATCGCGGTGGTGAATATCTGAGCCATGAGTTTCAAGATTATCTGAGAGAAAATGGAATTCTCTCGCAGTTTACTGCACCTTACACACCACACCAAAATGGTGTCTCCGAAAGGAGAAACAAGACCTTGTTAGACATGGTCAGGTCTATGATGAGTGAGACTCAACTTCCAAAATCGTTTTGGGGATATGCCTTAGACACAACGGCATACCTTCTAAATAGGGTACCGTCTAAATCTGTTCAGACCACACCATATGAGATATGGAATGGTAAGAGACCCAACCTGAGTTACCTCAGGGTATGGGGATCGCCAGCTTATGTCAAAGCGTTGGCATCAGACAAGCTTAGTGCTAAGAGTACTAAATGTCTATTTGTGAGGTATCCCAAAGGTACTAAGGGATACTACTTTTACTCCATGGATGAACACAAGGTGTTTGTGTCAAAGAATGTTGAGTTCCTTGAGAAGGATTTGATCTCTCAAGGAGCCAGTGGGAGTAAGATTGATCTTGAAGAAGTTCAAGAACCACATGAACCTTGTGTTTACAAGAAGTTTAGTGGGAGTAATGTCGTCTTCTTGGTACTTTATGCAGATGACATATTGTTAATAGGAAATGACATCCCCACATTACAAATAACGAAAGAGTGGCTCTCAAAAAGCTTCACCATGAAGGATTTGGGAGAAGCGGCCTTTATACTTGGTATAAAGATCTATAGAGATAGATCCAAGAGGCTGCTGGGTTTATCTCAATCCACGTATGTTGACAAGATGCTAAAGAGGTTTAGCATGGAAGGGTTGAAAAGGGGTTTTCTTCCCGTCAGTCATGGGGTACATCTTTCAAAGGCTATGTGTTCTAAGTCACAGCCTGAGAAGGATCGCATGAGTGGAATTCCATACGCTTTGACTATTGGATCCATCATGTATGCCATGATATGTACGAGACCAGATGTCTCATATGCTTTGAGCATTACGAGCAGATACCAGTCGGACCCTGGAGAGGGTCACTGGACAGCAGTCAAGACCATCCTTAAATACTTAAGAAGAACTAAGGATGTGTTTCTGGTCTATGGTGGGGTTGATGTTCTAACAGCGAAAGGGTTCACTGATGCCAGCTTTCAGATTGACAAAGATGACTGCAAGTCACAGTCAGGGTTCGTATTCACCTTAAATGGTGGGGCAGTATCTTGGAAGAGTTCCAAGCAGGAGACAACAGCAGATTCAACGACAGAAGCTGAATATATATCTGCTTCAGAAGCAGCTAAGGAGGCTGTGTCGATCAAGAAGTTCATATCTGAACTTAGGGTGGCTCCAAGTGTGGATGAGCCCATATAGTTTCTTTGCGACAACACTGGAGCCATTGCACAGTCAAAGGAACCTAGGTCTCATCAAAGATCTAAGCACGTGCTCCGCAGATATCACCTGATTAGAGAAATCATTGATAAGATGGATGTAAAGATGGATTATATTCCCACAGATGATAACCTAGCCGATTCTCTGACAAAGGCTGTTTCTCAGAGAAAACATGATAGTCGGTATACGACTTAGGTCTGATTGGCTCTAGGCCAAGTGGGAGCTTGTTAGTATATGGATGTCCTAGAGACAATCTTTTAATTAGATTAGAACATATGTGGACCTTTGTATTGTCGCAAATAAATAAAAGCACTATTTATCCTGTTTCATATTTTGTCTCAATATTACTGTTAATATTTTATATGAGTAACTGGATAAACCCCTTGGAATAAAATAGGTATCTCTTGAGTAACTGTGATGAGATCACGATCATGAAGATTCAAGGATACTGGATATTTATTCCTAATTTTATGTTCCTAGTCTAGAGACACTGAGAATGGGGATCAGTTATCTCGGGTAAGACTAGCACGACTTATCTACTTGTATTCGGATGCAAGGTAAAGACATCATGAGCTACAGATATGGAGATGTCTTAGCTAAAGTCGTGGGTGGATCTATAAGGGTATAGCTAGCACTGAACAGACCCACAAAAGAGACTCTATGAGGAAATCTCACAGAGAGTATCATTAGAGTAGTCTCTTTATATTTGGGTATGTCTTTCCTTAGACCAGAAGTTATTACCTAGACTGTGTTCTAGAAGGCATGCTTTGACTGTATACCTCATCTGCCTGAAACATGGAGACTCATAGGTATACTGTTGGGCTTGTCCTGATAGAGCACAGGCTAGGGTGATAAGCTTAAGGAATTCGTCAAATCTCTGTGAGAGATTAGGTTATCTGTAAACCGGAGAAATCAGGATGACATTTACAGGGACTCGAGAATCTATGCATAGTAAAAGAGATCATGAGATGATCTGCCTTTAGAGTCAGTAAATTGAAGATTCCCTATTTCGAATAAAGCTTACCCTAAACCGCAAGGGTTGATACGCTTCCTTACCCTAGGTTTTATGGGAAGGTAACCGAGACGAAAAGAAATACATACGGCAACCAAATATGTGTAATAGGATGATCAAGTCATTAATCTAACTAGCTCTGGGGCAACAAAGCATTGCTAGTGCTCTGTGTTGTCATTAATGGGGTGTGGGCTTGTTGGGCCTGAGCCCATTTATGTCATTGGCTATGTTGGACCTAATGGGTCACACACTAACACCTTAATGTCATGATGATATAGCATTAAAGGTATTGGGCCTAATAATGGTTGTTAGCCCAAGATGAAGTTTGGAAGCCCACCTAAGAGGGAAAGGGCGCATGGTATTGTTAATGGGCTTGGATGGTCCAAGACATTACTAATTAATTTAATTAGTTAAATTAATTATCAAATATTTAAATTTTGAATTTTGAAATTTGAAATTTGAATTTTGAATTTGAATTTTTGAATTCGAATTTGAATTGGCTATGAAAAGTTGTTTCATAACAAAATGATAAGATGAGATCTTGTTGGAACAAATCCCTTGTATCAAGAGAAGATCTATGGAGATCTCCAAGGGCTGATTTGGGGCGCCATTTTGGTGGGAGATGATTGTCATCTTGTCAAACCAACAAGCTCCAATCAGATTTGGTTGTTTAGAGAATCATTGAGCTAGTTGGTTCAAACTTGAATGCAACAGCTCAAATGTATCTGGACCCTTTTTGGGCTGAATAGGGGCGCATGAATTGGTGGTCATATGATGACCATTGGTTCAGAATTTTGACTAGATAAAGATCTAGTCTTATGAGGATTCAAAGGGGAGGTTGTTGGGATTTTGAATGGCAACAACTCCACCTTTGTCTCACTCACTTGTGCGCCTCTTTCATTATAAATAAAGTAAAAATTCTGATTTGATACACTAATTCTCTCCCTCTCTTGTGTGCCTAGTTGGTGTGTTCCTCCTTAAGGTGTTTCAAAAGAACCTAGCCAATTCTTCTATATGCCATTCTCACTCTTGTGAAGTTTTCATGCTGGAGACTTCACTCTTCTAACCACATATACCTAGCCTCCTTCTTCACCTATTGAGCGCATAGCAAGCCTCTCTGTGGTGGTCAATTAGTGGATTTCAAGAAAGCGTTCTTGCATCTTGACGTGGGTGGTGTGGATCAACGTTAGAGGGTTTGAACCCTTCAAACCTAACACTGATCGTCTTGGAGTTTTGAACTCACAAACAAAGGTAACATCACATGCCAAAAAGCATGATTCTTGATTGCATGTGTAATTCCGCATATGAAATATTTTGTTTTTCCCTCTCACATGCTACGGCCTTCAAGGCCATTTTACTTTCATTCTCAAGTCGGATCCCGGCCGCTCTGCAATATGCATCAAAAGGGCCGCAATACTCACCACCATTATCAGATCGGACCACCTTCAATTTCTTGACAGTCTCCCTTTCAACCATTGCATGGAATTCTTTAAAGGATTGGAGTACCTAGTCTTTAGACTTCAACAAATATACCCACACTTTGCGGGAATGGTCATCAATGAATGAAACAAAGTACTGAGCTCTTCCAAGGGATCTTTCCGACATGGAGCAGACATCAGTATGGACGAGGTCAAGAATATACCTGCGTCATCTTGGTTAATCTGGTCTCACAACCCGGTGTTGCTTTCCAGCTAGACAATGCATGCAACTCTCCAACGCTTGGCCTTTCCACCCGGTTAGTAATCCTTTTTTGTTCAGGATCTGGAGCCCTTTCTCGCTCATGTGGCCGAGGAGCTTGTGCCATAGCTCCAAGCTAGGTTCATCTCGAATAGAATTGGCTTCTCCGCCATTGATCTTTCCTTGCATCACGTACAAGGAGCCTTCCTTCTTACCTCGGGCCACGACAAAGTTTCCCTTGGCCAGCTTCCATCTAACACTACCAAAGTAGTTCACTAACCCGACATCGTCAAGTTTGCCTACCGAGATTAGGTTCGAACGCATGTCAGGTACATGCCTCACATCCTTCAACACAAGTCGACATCCGACATCTGTGGTCAGAGTTACATCACCGACACCAACAATCTTTCTCGTCACTTGATTTCCCATCTTCACGACTCCAAAATCACCACCTCGGTAAGAGGAGAAAAAACCTTTGTGTGGAGTAACGTGGAAGGAGGCACCGGAGTCAACAATCCAGGTGCAGTCATCATATGCAACATTCAAATAATTATCCTCACCAAGGAGGAATATCTCGGCATTCGAGTTGGCAGCCACCGCAGTGGTGCTCTTGTCTTCCCTCTTCTTGGGAATAATCTGATCCGGCTTCACAGAGTCGTTCTTCTCATCATTCTGCAGGGTCCAGCAGTCTGGCTTCTTATGGCTTGTCTTTCCACAGTAAAAGCACTTCAACTCATATTTTGGCTTTGACCGACCTCTGGACTTTCCTCTTCTGTCACGATCTCGACCCCGACTTTTGCTTCTACCCCAGGAGTCAGATTTCCCTTTGTTTTCAGCAATGTTAGCCTTAGACGTGCTTGAAACACCTCGTTCTCTTCTCCTGACTTCTTCGCTTAGGAGGATGTTTGTCACGACATCCATCTTCAACTTTCCTTCTGGAGCTGAATTACTCAAAGTCACCACCAGAGTATCCCAGCATTCTGGCAGCGAGCTCAACAGCAGCAAAGCCTGCATCTCATCATCAATTTTCATCTCAGCTTTTGACAGCTGATTCTCAATACCTTTATAGGTGTTGAGGTGTTCAATCATGTTCATGTCGTCCTTGTATTCAAGCTTCACAAGTCGGCGAACCAGGTATGCTTTATTCCTGGGAGTCTTCTTCTGAATCATGGATTCCAGCTTCGTCCACAACTCATACGCGTTCGTGAACTCGGACACGTGCTCAAAGAGGCTTTTATCAATATATTTCCTGATCGTGGCTACCGCCTTTCGACTCAGGATCTCCCACTCCTTATCTGTTTTGCCTGCCGGTCTCTCATCAAGGATAATAGGCTCATGTAAATCTTTGCAGTAGAGATGATCTTCCATCATCGGTCTCCAATAGGTGAAATTATCAGCGGTCAACTTGAACATGTCTCCATCATTGGTTATGCCACTGGTCTCCATCTCGTCTCCCTCAAAACCCGTCGAACTCGGGCTCTGATACCACTGTTGGGAACTCGGTTCCCTCAGATCGGCTCTGGGGCCTCTATGCGGATGTCAATCAATAAGATCCTGATCTCGGATCTCGGCAATACCTCGGCATGAACTTTACCAAGTCGGGCAGCGCAGCGGAAAAACAAAACGAAAACAGGAGAGAGAGAGAAGAAGAACACAACCAGATTTAACGTGGAAAAACCTTCTTCAATGAAGAAGTAAAAACCCACGGGACCTAGTCCAGATCAAAAATTCACTATGAAAATAATGGTTACAAAATAATCAGAATACACCAATGTGGTGGTTAACTCAACCTCTCCAACAATGGTGATAATCAAACTACCCTAGAGATGTTTCACTCAAACTCTATCTAGAGATCTCTCAAATACAAAGCATAAAGCTTTGCTCAAACAATCAAATAATTATCTCTCAAATTTTCTCTCTAATCTCTTAAACTAGCCTCCACCCACAACTAATGAATATACAGAGGAGGTGAGATCTAGGGTTAGGATTTTTAAGAAACCCTTCAATGGGCTTGGGCTTAACATTGAACGACGAAGCCCAACATCACAAATAGAATACTGCCAAGAAAACAACATCAAAGTTTTCCTTTCCATTGGTCTAGTTTCCGCAGGCCTAACAACCAACACTGCTTCGTTATCAGCATCAGAGAATGTGACAAAAGATGTTGCAGATTACCTCTTGGAGAAGTACCTAAGTGGTAAATCAGGTCCTCTAGGAAATGTGTATTTGGATGGCATTGATATTGCTGATGTTTCAGATAGTGAACACCTAAAATGGGATGAACTTGTTAAGCTCATTAATGCATCCACAACAGATAGAAGGATTTACATATCTGCATCACCAGAATGCGTATACCCAGATTACTACCTTGACTCCGCAATCCAAACTGGCCTTGTTGATTACGTTTGGGTTGAGTTCTACTACCAGAACCCTTCTTGCATATACTCAAATGGAGATGCTTCAAAGCTTTTGAGTGCATGGGAAACATGGACCTCACGTGTTCCCAATAGTTTAATATTCCTGGGTCTTGCGGCTAATGATACAATAGCTGGTTATATAGAACCAGATGCACTCAAATCTGAGGTTTTACCAACAGTAAAGGAAGCTTCCAACTATGGTGGAGTTATGATTTGGGACAGGTATCTTGATAAAATTAATAATTATTCTGCTCAGATAAAAGATAGTGTGTGTGATGAGTCTGCATCGACCAGTTTCTATGGTCTTCCTCTGCGGGGATCCATTTGAACGTAGTGTGTTGTAGACACAATAGTTGACGTGCCATTAGGCACTTAATTTATATATGGAATAAAGTAGCTACTTACCAATGTGAGATCTGTAACTGTTTGATTACAAGCATGTAATGGATCTCACTTCAAATAAAAGTTCTATTTTATGAAACCAACTTATGTCTTAACTACGGAATGATGAACACTAATTAAATTTGAAATAGCCTATAAAATCCTTTCAGGGAAAGAAAAAAAAAATTATGATATCCAAGGTTTCCTTGTCATCCTGTTCGGTGTCATCGCCATCATAACCTGCTCCCGTGCGCGCATCATCGATGACCTTAACGGTGAAAAGGACACATATATAGTTCTGTTCTCTTTAATGTGCAGGTCGGCTTCCACTTCGTTTTGCTCCAAAATTCCTAATGATAAACCAAAATCCCCCACACGATTAGTTACAAACGCCTTTTGACAAGCATTTGCCGGTTCTTGGAGGTTAACGACGCGGGTGCTTAAGATTCTATGCTAAAAACTTACAGTTGATATTTCGTCCAACACCACTTGAATTGTTGATAACCACCATTTACTATTGTTAGAGTAAATACCTTTTTGGTCGTCAGCAAATTTTACGATGCACTCCCTAGCAAATAAAAAAGGCTCATTGTAGTCTCTAAAAAACTCAAAATGGACCTATTTAGTTGAAATCGTGGTCTCTCACAAATTCAAAAAAGACCCATATTAGTCCTCAAAAGAACCAAAATGGGTCCATTTTGAATTTGTGAGAGACGACGATTGGCCTTTTAATTTGCTGGGGACTAAAATAGGCATCGTAAAATTTGCTGAGGACCAAAAAGGGTATGTACTCCTACTATTGTTGAGGGAAACCAATTTGGCCACTAAAATACCGAGGATTTATGCTTTGAATGGCAATAGGGAATAATTGCAATTGAGACTATACCTTGCACCCGTGCGAGTATATGTGTAATTTTTTTATTATTTAATTGAAATTGAAACCAACTCCACTACTATATGCCAAAGTCTCCCTTCTTTAAATTAACCATTGTTTCAAATGGCAAGAAACTTGTTCACCTTTATCATTGATGAGACTTTAAATATTACTATCTTGGCTTTGTCACTTGGTACGTACCAACTTAATTTTTACATTAAGATTTGAATTTCAAAGGTTGATTCAATTAAGAAGATTGTAATTAACCATGGCTGCCACGAAACAACCATCAATATTCCTCCTCTTAGCCCTTGTAACGCGAGCTTTAACACTGATGGAATCCATATTGGAAGATCAATTGATGTGAAGGTTCTTAACACAAACATTGGTACTGGAGACGACTGCATCTCATTGGGTGATGGGAGTAAACAAATAACTGTCCAAAATGTGAATTGTGGACCTGGTCATGGTATTAGTGTTGGAAGCCTTGGGAAGTACCCAAATGAAGAACCTGTTGAAGGTTTACTTGTTAAGAATTGCACTTTGACTGACACCGACAATGGTGTTAGGATCAAGACCTGGCCTAACGCCCCTGGAACATCTCCTGTCACTGATATGCATTTTGAAGATATTACTGTTGTTAATGTTAAGAACCCTGTCATCATAGACCAAGAGTACTGTCCATGGAACCAGTGCAACAAGCAGGTATTTCATCCAAAAAATTTATCTTTATCCTTTAATGTTATTATCTTAACTAGTAATCTTCTTGTCTTAATTTGAATGAGGTAATTTAAATGACTCATTTTTGTCTGTTTCTTGTACGCTTTCAATGTCTTAGACTCCATCAAAAGTAAAGATAAGCAGGGTTTCCTTCAAGAACATTAAGGGCACTTCAGGAACTCCAGAAGGGGTGGTTCTTATTTGCAGCAGTGGTAACCCTTGTGAGGGTGTTGAGTTAAGTAATGTTGATCTCACGTTCAATGGAGCCCCAGCAACCGCTAAATGTGCCAATGTCAAGCCCGTAATTACGGGCAAAGCTCCTACTTGTGCAGCTTAGAGTGATCAGATTTTATTTACTTTTCGTTTCTTTTAAGGGTAGACAAACCGTCCCTACAAAGTAATATGTGGACCAGTTGTAGTGTTATACTCATTATCAACCTATTCAATTTAGAGTTATCTAAAGTTACAATTAATTCATCAAGTGAAGGTAATTGATCAACTCTAAAACAATAGTCATTAAGGTTTCCGTACATGATCTATAATATGCAAATTTAACATATATCTCGTCTAAAAAAACATTTTTTCGATCTCACCAATTAAAAAAAATCGAATTATCAATCCGGAGAAGTGGAATCAGAAATTAACTATATAGCTTTATGTAAAAAAATATATAATAATGATTGAGAATACCACACAATGAACAAATAATGAAAACAGTTACAATTTGGACTTGATAAATAAATATTTAAATTAAACTAAATCTAAAAAATTTCTCTAGTCGCTTTTCGATATCAAATCATTTTGAAACTTTCGCTTTATCAAAATAATTTGTTGATAAAATCGAACGACAGAGCTGAAAAAATAAAATGTCAAATTTAAATTCACTTATGTATAAGTTACATTCTAAATTTTAGTCATTGACCCAACTTGCATATAACAACTCATCAAGCTAATAAATTATAGTCGTTATAAGCATATCTAACATGCCACCTTACTCAAAAGCCCATTACACACACTCAAACCCATATATAACATGATCCGTGGATTAGTCCAATATACAGTTGTTATGCTATCCGTAAAGACTTTGTTCGAAATGGTATATATATTATCATATTTGGATAGTGATTTGATGATTAATTATGGTCACAGGTTTATTAGGTATGGATTCTATGCAGGTATGAGACTGTATAGATTATGTTATATTGAAAAATAAATTATGCACGACGATACGTAAAGATAAATTAAAAGAAAAAAGTTAAGTCACTTTGTTACTCGGTGTAACGGTGATACTTTTACGTTAAATCTTCCGCTAAAATAATTAATATTGACAAGTTTTGTAACCATGTGTATGTTAACAAACCGGCTGCAGACGGGGTGTTACATTCACCTAAGCCCCATTTTAACCTTTAATAAAGTCCTCTTGATTTATGCATGCATTTGTTTTTAGTAGTGGAGAAGTAGAACTTGAGCAAGCCTATGGTAGGACAATTTTCTTGAGTAGAATTAGAGTGATACATTTATTTACCCCATACACTTGAGAGATTGATTGAGAGCATCTAAGAGACCATTTTGCATTGTCAGCTATATCATTTGAGATTACCAGGTTCTGTAATTTGAGATAATGGAATTTATGTTTTGACTGGTTGATTTGTTGAAGTTCTGTCATCTATATTCAAGCTCTGTATTCTTGACAATTTTTACAAAGGATAGGTTAATCTTTTAGTCTTTGCTTTTGTTTGTTTTGAATTTTGATTTTGCTCAAGAGTGCAAAAAGATAAGTGTGAAGAAATTTGATAATGGATATTTTATTACACTTATTTACCTCTCTTGATTAGTATTTTAGGATTATTTGTAATGAAAATAATGGTCTTTTGAGTTAAATTAGATTTTTGGTTGTTTATTGGGTTTAATTTATTTTCGTCATTAGTTTCCAATTTTACGTTACTTTAGTATTTTGACCATATCTCACTCCACAAATGTCCGATTGACTCCGTTCTTATTGCGTTTTAAAGATAATTCAAAGGGATACAAATGTTATGAAGACATGAAAGCCCATTTCAAACAAAAAGATGGTCAAAATTAGAGCCCAAGTCATAAACGAGATGCTGGAATTTTATTGATTTAAATTTGTAATTAGAACCCAATACTATTGATAAGCAAAATGAAGAAAAATCAGAAGAAGTGGAAAAATTGCAGGATGAAGAACAGGTACCCTACTTGCAAGAAAGAACACTTGAACCTCTGCCGAGAACGGAACAAGAAAAACAAGTCAAAAGACCATCTGCAGAGCAACCACCTGAGCTAGAATTGAAGCCACTTCCCTAACATCTGAAATACGTATACTTGGGGAAGAGGCTTCAATTATTTTTTAACTTTCTATTCCATTATTTTTTTCCTCTTTTCTCTTTTCATCATTGATTCACCCTTGTATGGTTACCATACTCCTAAAAAGCCTTCTCTGCCTCTGCCTTTTATTTGTGTATTTGATTGTGCCTCACTTAATTTGTTTTTTGAAATTAATATTTAGTGTCTTGTAAATGAAATTTGAGGTAGAAATTATGTGGAATAAATATTTCTAGACAAAAATCATGAAATTTTAAGCAAAAATTATGAAAAACCATTGGATTTTTATACTGGGTCGAAACTAGAGTGACCTGACTGAAGATGTTGGACTTGTAACGCTTTTGTTGTTGTGTTACTGTGCACCTTTTATTGTTGTTTGCGTGAATCGTGGTTATTCATGTGGTATTAGCTTGAGAAATCCAAGTGATATTACTGTTTTCAATATTTGTGAATATTGGACCTGTTAGGACATTAGTTTGGAAAGCTGAACAACAAGCAATTATGGAGAACATTGGGCTGGGGGAGGTGAATCTATACGAAAAATGGAAAAGATCCAATCGACTCTATGCGATGTTAATTAAGGCTAAGATATCACTTGCTATTATCAGGTTCAATGGAGAAGTATGATAATGTGAGAGTGATCCCGAAGTCTATTAATGAACAATTTGAGACTTCAGAGAAGGCATTAGCTAGTACCTTAATAAAGAAATTTTCTTCCATAAAGCACACTACTCTGAGGGGTGTGCGTGAGCACATCATGCAGATGAGGGACATTGAGGCTCAGTTGAAAACTTTGGAGGTGGATATGTCTAACTCTTTTCTTGTTCACTTTATTCTGAATACTCTCCCAGCACCATACAGTCCCTTTAAAAACTCTTACACCACACATAAAGGCAAATGATCTATCAATAAACTCCTGACCATGTGTGTTCAGGAAGAGGGGAGGCTGCAGTTGGAACTATAAAGAAAGAATGGCTAAGAACACCACAAGAGGGGGATGAATTGTGGTTAACTTCTTTTCCAATAAACTTTATTTTTAAAACCCCTTTAACAAGAAACTTCAAGAAAATATGGTAGAACAGAAATCAAACCCTACTATAATAACCCTAACATGAGAAATAAATAATTGAGAATTATTTGGAGATAATAATGGTAAAATTAAATTAAGAATATAATTTTATGAATTTAGACCCTTCATGGGAAAAGCGTGAATAGTAAATTTTATCAGGTAAAATGTTATTGTGCAATTTTACAGAAAAACTCAAAAATGAGATTAATATTTTAAAAATTAAATATATGCCAAACAAGTCATTTAGAACCAAGAAAATAATTATGATAATTATTTGGGGTCAAATTATAATTTTGTAAAGTTTAGGGACAAAAATTACAATTATACCAAAATTGACCTAAACTCAATTATGGTACCACAATATAATTAACTATAGGATTTACTGATATGAAAATAAAATTATTAGGATGAGATTAAGTAGGGAAGATTAGGTTGTTAGTTGGTTAAATATAGGGATTAACTAGCAAAATTAGTGGTATTTGTGGTCAAAGTCAACAAAGCCCACTTATGTGACTTAGACTCACTTTCTCCTCACTTTTTAACTATATTCTCTCTCCTCTCTTTAGCCCCAATAGCGACCCCTCCCTCCCCTTCTCCAATTTATTTTCCTTTCTATACAACCCTCATTAAGAAATCTTGAAATTATAAAAGGATAATAAGTGTGATTACTAGTTTACACTAGCTTTGGAATAAGTAAGCTTTGATGTTAATTTTGTTGAGTAAATGAATAAATTGACATGATAAAAATTGTGATGATACAATTCATGTCAAGTAAGGTAAATTGGACCTAAATGAGATTATTGATATAGTCAAGGGGTCAAAATATAAATATGTGAAAGTATAGGGACTAATTTGTAAATAAGCAAAATAATGACTTAAGCTTAATTTTGAGTGTGTAATTAAATACTCTATAGAATTTTGATGACTAGAAGTGGTCTTGGATTGATCTAATTATGTTTAGATTAATTTATAAAATCAAGTCAAAGCTTGAAAAATTAAAAGTCAAAGATATGCTAAATTACATGGAAAATTTGATAAATGGACACTATGAGTGTGGTTTGTACTAAATTAAAGATATGTAAGTCTATTAAAACATATCGAAAATTCAGAGCAATCTAATTAAGATTGTATTTTTTGTGAATGAAATAGTGAGGGCTGTTCAGGGTGTAAAAGATTTATGTTTACGTTTTTGTCCAAATTGGAAAGGGCATATCTCACTTGTTTCTTAATGAAATGCAATGTGTGAGGCAATTATGTTAAAAATAAATAAAAAGGAAAAGTTAAGTCACATAGTTGATGGTAAGCTACAAAGATACTTTTATTAAGTCTTCCATGTATTTAATTTAATAAGTAGCGCTTTTAGTTAACACAACGGCGGCCGACGGGGTGTTACAAACGACAACATGGAAAACGAAAATGGAGAACAATGGTGTGGTTGCTCGTGAGGGGACTCGTGGGGATGAGAGAAAGATATGAGTGTTGTTGCAGAAAAAGCTCCCTTCTGTCTTCATTTGATCCTATATTTATAGTGCCGAGACAATGGCAGCTTTGTGATTTCTTCAATTCGTTCCTTTCACAGTTGGATTAAGGGAAGTTTCTTCTTCTTTGATTAGATGGCCTTGAAATGTTGAGTTGTCCTTGTTTCGTATCTCTTATAACAAATTCTAAACATGTCATAATTATTCCCCTCACCTTTTGTGCCTTGATGTCATGATTGAAAAGGTAGTGGGTGTCTTTTTGTGATACCTTGCAAAAAGTAAAAAGTAAGGGTGAGTGGAATTAAAAAGTAACTAAGAGTATAACTCACCTTTTCTTACTTTTCTCTCTCTTTCCTCATTTTTTCACATTCACACTCTTTATTTTCTAAAAGTAGAATTTATTGCATTTACACTAATATTTACTATATTATTTAAATTGGGAATGAA